GTGTGTGTGTGTGTGTGTGTGTGTGTGTGTGTGTGTGTGTGTGTGTGGCAAGAAATCAATACACTCTCAAATAAAGAAATGAATCATTGTCAGTTTGAATAATGAAAATAAACCTACAGTATGTATTATTGATGAAACACCGCCATCTAGTGGAAGTCATTAGTCAAATCTGGTCTTGGTAATACTTGGATGCATATGAGGCATTTGGTGGTGATGTTTTTGCAACACACTGTATTCATAGCTTCTTTTTTTTTCCAGTGGCGTATACCATTGAACATATAGGCTTATCATGCTACATGAAGCTTGATTTATTTCAATGATTTATTGAATCTACGCTTTTCATGCTTGCCTGTATTTTCAAACAAAGGGTTTTATATTTTTGACCAATCATTTTTGAGAAACGCATGGCACTTATTTTATGTTCCTGATGGCCATTTGTTTTTCAGTACTTGGAGTACTGTGGCAAATTCTTGTATTGTTCACTTACTGTGAATCTGAATGAGGCCTGAGGCTTTTAACACATTACAGGTAGTCTTTTTACTGTGGAAGAAGATGCCAAAGGCACATTTATTGAATTTAGGCCATAAACTTTGGAAAACTTAACCTCATTTTTTTAGATGTTCAAATCAATCTGCTTATGTATTTGCTGAGTATCAAAAGTGTTGGTGATTAATTCTCAGTTAAGGGGGACTTTTGGACTATTTTGCTTTCATATTTTTGCATCTTCTCTCAGACTAGTGGAAAGAAAACATCTGAAATAGACATTTCGGTGTTTATTTTACTACACTTTGTCTATTTGGGTCCTCATATTTCTCCTAAATTCACCAAAAGTTAGCATTAGATAATACCTCATTTGCATATTTAAACATCACATTTCAGAAAACTTATAATACAGAATATACTTGTTTTTAATGTAAGCTATCAACTAGGGAAGTTTCATTGTGATATCGTTTCTTTAACATTTTTTCCCTATTTACCTGTAGTGTCTTCAAAATGTATAATGCAAATTAGCACATCTTTCATAAAGATAATGCTTCATTTGCATATTGAAACATTTCAGAAAACTTGTGAAATAATTGTCTTTTTTGATCGATTAGGGAAGTTTTACTGAAGCTACTCTCTGGTTTTACACACTTCACACCTTGATTCATGTGGCTCTAACAATTGTCACACGACTTCCATGTGACCTCAATGACTCACCTCTGGAGCCGTCATGTGACATTATGGAATGATTGGCCCAGAAATACCTGGGACTCCCCACCGGCCAGTACAACTGAGGCCTCTTAAAAGAATGCTGTTGGTCTTTACTTGTACACCTACAGTCTAGACAGCAGTTTCATTTTGACCTGACAATGATTAGAAGTACAGTTTTGTGTAGTCCAGGGTCCAACCCTGAGCAGATATTAAGTTAGGCTCATTGATTGTGAATTATTATGCATTGTGTGTAACTTGACTTGAGTATTTCTATTTTCTGCCACTTTATACCTCTACTCCACTTCATTTCATGTTGTTCTTTGCACTTCACTGCATTTACCTGAGAGCTATATCGACTTTGCAAATTAAGATTTTACATACAAAACATGCAATCACTTTATTAAATATTTCTGATCAAACTCGAAGTAAATTAAATTAGCTCCCACTACAACATTAAAATGCTGCTAATAAGAAACAATATGCCAACCCATATACTCGGGGGACGTTATTCGTAATGAGGACTTTTTTTTACTAGTCTTATAACAAATTATTTTATTTGTAACAGTATGTTTACACTGTTGTATGGATACTTTTAAGAACAGTAATACTTTTTTCATCACTGTACTGTGTAGGCCTACATACATTACGTCTCTAACACACGTGAAGCCTTATTGCAACATCAAGAATGACGAATTCCGTTCTTTTTTAGAACGACTAATTTTACTAATCTACTTTTTCAAAAATATATTTCATTAATCAATGAATTGATTGAATTGTGGATTAGTCTATAATTTGGTTTCAACATTTGTTTTCTCTTCTCTCCTCTTTTGTGTCTTTAAGATCTTTAAATGTGCACGTGCCACCTATATTCACCTCAATGATAAATTAATATTAATTGATTTGTATAACCTCTGGAATTGAATACTTGTGTGTTTCATCAATATTTCCAATCATGTAAAAAGTATGCAAAGTATCGTTATGGCACTATAGGCTAATTACTAATATTAATAATGTAGTTTATTTGTTACGGTAACAGAAATGGTGCTTTTTTTCCCCAATATTTACGAAAGCAGAAATGTATGGAAATGCCCCACAGGACTATTAAGAGCCTCCAATGGCAGTCATCATGTATGCATCAGCCTATTGGTCCGGGTCTGGACTGCTACAGTACAATTACGCACACTGGTGAGTCCGTAACTGCGCAACCCAGACTGTATTATGTTATAGTGCATCGCAGTGAAGGGAAGAGAACCGCATTTATGATGCCTTCAAAACAATGGGGAAATCAACACTTCTAGAGGTGGAATTTGTTGCGACACTCCAAATGTACTGATGTGACGTTTATGGGGCAGGATGCGGGGAAACCCTGTAAACTACCGCTGGGAAAATTTCCTGCTGTTGAAATAGTATTGTTTGGGATTTCCATACAAAATATTAGCTAATTCTTTTCGGGAACTTTATGTCAATGTGTATTGGAAGCTATACTGTCTTTTCGCGAGGGTGGGAAATAAATAACTGTTTCCCCCCTCTTCACACTCGGGCTTTGTGACCCAATTTACAAAAATAAAACAAAATCTTCTCTTGGAACCTTTTTTGCAATTGCTTTCAAAAGCTTGGGTGCGTTAAAAAAAATCGCGCCTCAAGAGTCTCAACTTTACGACTGTTTTGAAGGCATCGCTACTATTTCTATTTCTAACAGAGCTTCTTTAGCTTGTATTCAAGATTTGTGTCTTTGTTTTCGTTACCATTTGTCCCAGCAGGCTATAAAACCCCATTCACCTCTCAAATGACGGCCGACGGTGAATCTTTGAGAGCAGGCAGGGCTCAGTTTGACGAAGATAAAAAAAGTCCGCGGGGAAGTTCCCTATAGGAAATCCCCCAAAGACTGTGCGGGGATATTATTCTGCGCCACAACCTCGACACAAGTGACATCCTCGGTCAATTTGTAAAGTCACAGGGCTGATAGCGGAGGTGTCAAATGCTGGATTACTAAAAGACCGATCCGTCTGTCAAACATCTACGAAGCCAACTATGGATAACGTCAGTGTAAACTCCGAGAACAACGTGAAACTCCGGAGTTGCAGCACGCTGAATACTCTGCACCATGAGACGCTGCAGGAAGTCGAACTTCTCAACAAACAGATTTACGTCAAGGACAATATTATTGCAGATTTAAAAGCGAGGCTGGGGAGATATGAGCGGATCTACGTGGCTGTGGGAGATAACGAGTCCGTGGTCATGGGGCCGTCCAAGTCTTTGCTGGAGAACTTGTGTAAAGAAATATGCAAACTGAAACAGAAGAGGAACGACATGGAGTTCAAGGCATCTCGACAAACGGAGGTAAAATAATGTTCAAAATGCTTTTCTTATGATGATCCATGCAGATTAGTGTTTTGTAGGTAATGGAGCTAGTTAGTTCAGTGACAGGTCCGTTTCATGTTGGTACAAATAGTCTCTTGGCAATAACTAATACGCTTTTAATCTCCTCAAATCCATATTTCTATATTCATGCTGGTGGTTATTGATTTTATTATTGTGATGTATTGTTTTAATGTATTTACCTCAAATATGTTGAAACTTCCTCAAAGTAGACTTATGATTAAAAAGAAATCTACCAGAACACATATTGGCAGCAATAATCAGAATGACAGATTTTATTTTATAAATGCTTTTTGTATGTATAATAAATATGTCAAAAGGTTACACATTAAGAACTGATGTGGTCATGCAACTGATCTCTCTCTCTCTGTCTTCCTCCCCAGGAGATCCAGAGGCTGATTGTGCAGCTCGGAGAGAAGGAGCTGGAGTTGGAGAGTGTCAGGTGTCAGCCGGAGCACGAGAAGGACCGGGAGATCCACCGGCTGCGGGCGGCCCTGGAGGAGAGGGAGCGGTCCGAGGCCACCAGAGCCGTACTCTGCACGTCCCTGGTGGAGGAGGCTGACCAGCTGCGCAGCCAGCTTGGGACCACAGTGAAGGTGTGCCAGGAGCTGCTGGCCAGGCTGGAGAAAGATAAGAAGGGGGGAGGAGAAGTGGAGGATGTGGCTCAGCAGCAAAAGTCTCAGGAGGTTTGTGTGAAACTTTGTCTGTGTTGAATATATTTGAATGTATCGCATTCCACCTTTTTAAATGCAGCATTGGAACTGTATTTATATTTGGGGGGCTCTGTTGTAACATCTCTTTCACCATTTTTCTACAGATGACAGATTCCTCTGACATGAGTGGTGTTAACGCCCAAATCTGTCAACTTCAACAGGAGAATCAACAGCTAAAGCAGCGAGTGGCATATGTAAGTCTTCACCAAGTTTACAAGTTGTCGTCAATGACTATACTTGTACATTTATACGCGATATTACGCGATATTAAGGTGGTGCTGTTTTTTTAAGAAAATATATTAAACTTGCTATTGTTGTTGTTCCTTCTTTTAGGTCCAAAGCCTGAATTCTCAGTGGCAGAAGTATGACTCCAGCAGGGAGGACTATACCAGAGGTTTATGTCGGAGGCTAAAGGAGACCTCTGGGCAGGGCTTGATGCCTGGGCTTGGCTCAATAAGCACCGGTTTGCTTCAACAGGAGATTTCCAGGCTCAACAGCTTACTCGAGGAGAAGATGAGCGAGTGTGCGCGGCTGAGTAGTGAAGTGGAGGAGCTGAGGAGGAACGAGAAAGAGCACATCCAGACTCTGGAGCAGCAGGTCTGTGCTACACCATGATCTTCATATTACATGTCGTTCAATCAGATTTTATGAGTAGAACTGGACTGCAATTGGCTCTTTAGGCTTCTGATGTGTTTTGAAAACTGACTTTTGAAGAAACGAGAAGACTAAAAAGTTGTTTCTATTCCTCAATCAGGTCCTCATCTACGCAGATGACTTTAAGTCGGAGCGTGCCGACCGGGAGCGAGCGCAGGGCCAGATCCAAGACCTGAAGGAGCAGATTTATCAGTTAAAACAGCAGCTACACAAACAGGTGAGACGACAGCCCTCAAACACTTGCATTATATTCCATATATTTTTTGTGTTGGCTTGTGCAATCCTAACCGTGTACGTACATAATTGCCTTCAGCAGAGAAGTGGTTCCCATGTGTCGCGTGCACGCCCGGGCCCGGGCCTGTCAGAGCTACAGTGCCCGCAATGCTTCGTCACGTTCAGCGACACGGACACCGCAGAGTACCTGAACCATTGTGAAGAGTGTGCCAGAAGATAAATGGAACAACACTCGTTTTTGGAAGAAAAAAAAAAAAAGACACTTATCACTTGCTGACAGTAATCGAACACTGAAGAGCAGCACTACAGGGCAGAAAATAACCTGAGTGGAGTTTCCAATTCGGAGAGACTTGACTACAAATTAAACAACTGACTTGAGATGTTTGTACATAGTGGACCAAAACTGTACAAGCTAAAGTTCCCCTGTTGCAAGAGAAATGAGTTGATCAAGCTTTTCTAAGTCTGCATTGTGAACAGTGTCAGGTTCTTAGTGTTCTCCTGTGGAAATGCAGGAGATTATTGTGGTAGGGAAGTGGATGTCAATGCAATATATCAAATGTCATATACCTCAATGTGTCAAATTACAAACCTGTTGCACTTTCTTGACATTTAGCCAAAAACTCAGTCGTACGATAAGACATTCATGATGCATAAGCTTCTTATTTTGGATAATGTGGTGCTATTAGTTGTTTATTTTCGATTGAACTTTACATATTCTGTCCTGTAAATTATACATTCTTAATAAGAGATTTAAAATATATAACTATATTAATATTTATTCATGTTGCGTAATGCGTAAATATTTGGAAAAGGTAAAGCCATGAAATATTTGTTTTCTGGTACACTTTTAGGATCAAAAATGTTAATGCATTCTAACTGGAAAAAATGTTTTATCCATTTTTTTTGTGACAGTGTATGTAAAGATTGCATCCCAACTGACAATAATATACTTATTTTTGGAGATCCTGTGCCGTTTCTCTTGAGCTGGCACATTATTTTTGTAATAAAATACTGTTTACTCACACTTTATCTTATGGTGATTTATATAGCTTTAAGTATGCCACATTATCACACGGTGTATTTTAATTCTTGACAGTCTGCAGCCTCGAGCTGTAACCACAGATCATAGCCTAACCACGAAAATGTTGGCGCTACTTAATCTAAGTCTGTGTGTGTGTGTCTGTCCATCTGTGTCACGTGTATGTGCTTGTGTGCGCGGTGGAAACCCCCTTCCGAGTGTTGCCTGAATGGGCATGCTGTACTGTCACAGCCATGTTCCCAGCTGTTGTGTGGCTATAGCAAACACTACAGGGCCACTGAGAAGATCAGAGAGACTGTAGCTCAAGTTACATTCAACAACCGCCTGCGGATCAGTTGGTGACCAAAACATTCTACAGTCGGTGTCTGTGAAGTATCATTTTGACACATTTAGGTCAATAGTACCTTTTGGTTGATTCACTTGTCATGGGTTTAGTGTAGTAAGCACAGGAAGCTGGACATCCCCTGTTTAAAAGGAAGTAGGCTGTTGCAGTGCACAGAAAAGACTCAGTCAAACCACCGTGGTGTCTGAGTGTGAGTGAACACAAGACACATTATGATCAAAGAACTACTTTAAAGCAAAAGTATAAAACTGTTTAAAAAGGAAGCAACATGTTCTTACAAATGAAATGTTGAATCCATGAGCAGTAACACTACTCTTGCTCAATTCAAAACAATCTTTTTTTTTTTATCACTACAGCGTTACCAGCGTGAGCTAATGTTGGCAAGCTAGCAAGATATTGCTTTGAGTCACAGTCTTGTGCATCATTTATGGGATAACAATATACAGTATGTGGTTGCTCTTCAACAAAAGTTGCACAGTCTCACTATAAATACTATATCATTGAATGTAATTGCTTTATTTGCTTTCTTACCAAGAATCCGATCAGAAGATGTTACCATTCTCTGTATGGTAAATATGATGCTACTGTGAGCAGTCGGTTAGCTTAGCTTAGCACAAAGCTTGTGGTGGGGGGGCTGGCTATGTTTTACAGCTACACGGTAAACAAGAATCATTGGCACATGTCTGTACGGATTAAACACACAACATATAACAGTTAATAAGTGAGCTTTAGAGGTGCTGGTAGCAGGATTTTGTAACATTGGACAAAGCCAGAGCTAGCTGTCTAGCTAACTTAGCTGCGAGCGGAAGCCGCATTTTAACTGTCACAAAAAAAACCTGTATTTCCCAAAATATAGAATTATTATGTAAATCTCAAATTTACTAATAAACTAGAGGTTATTAAGCTATTATTTAAGAAACATGTTTAAAATAAATAGTGTTGGACTACCTCTGAAAACAAAATGAAGCGGTTCGACAGGCCAAATATTTAAATGACACCAGGCAACATCACATGCCAACTTACTCATCAGTTAACAGGGGAAGATATTTGAAAATGTATTTTATTTACATATGGCTCTAATTCATTATTCATTGAACGTTTGGTTCCTATTTTGGCTTTAAAGGGCAACTGCAGTAACTTGTCTGTAGGCCTTTGTCTGCATGCAGCCTTGTAGAAATGCACACAGCCCCTAAAAAGGCCATGAGCTGTCTGCTGGGGATTCTCCCCCCCTGCCACACACGCATTTATAACAGGGTCTATAAGTGACTGAACTTCCACACAGAAAAAAAACGCTCTACCCACCCATCTGAGAGTGGAAAGAAATAGGTCACAAGTCCCCACCTGAGTGTCTGGGAACTTTTCAAAGAAACAATAGAATTAAAAAGAAAAAGTCAGGTGACAGCAGAAGATCAGTTCCTGTTGGAAACTAGATTCAAAGCATCAGGATGTACTGCTGTCGTATACTTTAACAAAGAGAAAAAAACTTCAGCCTGACACTTATCCAGACAAACACAGAATGGATAGATATACTACAGCCTTTAATCTTATGTGTATCCTAAAAGAACGGGAATTTCCCGCCATCATGAGGGAATTCCCAAAAAAGTTTATTATTTGAAAATAGAGCGTTGTCGACTTGAGCCGATCATTTTTGATTTAGTGTATGTTGGTTCAGGTAGTTGGTATTAATGTTGAATGGGAAAGGATTTTTTTTATTTTGTAACAAAGTCCAGGGTTTTAACTATCAAAATCAGCATTGTGGCAGATGTTGTCAGGAACAACAGGGGGGAAGGGGGGGGGGGGGGATTCCCTCTTTGGAAGTGTATGTGATCCTGAAGCGCTCCAGGCAGTCGACAATGAAAAGATCAGCATTCTGATTACAAGCTACAAGGCAGCTGTGATCCCTTCTAATAATCCTTTTGGTGCTCGCCCGTCATTGTCAGACTGCTCCGAGACCACCATTGTGTTTTCCCTCATCAACCCAGAATTCATACAGCAAAGGTCAAAATAAGGAAACCTTTTTCAAAGGACAAATGATGGAAATTGACTTATAAATCTATTATTAACTGAGGGAAAGGGTTGTTTTAAGTAGCTCTTATCTCTGCACATATAAAAAAAACCACAAATCGACATGTTTTATTTAGATCACGGCCCACATTTGTCTCTCAAGACATTTTGCTCGGTGTTTTTCGGCTTGTCTACGTTAGCGTAGTTTTGCGGGGCATTTGCTGAAATGTGGTAGATCCCATCTTACATCACTGGTGACTGAGAGCGAGCACGCCCTACAAACATGATTCATACCTGAAATAAATTATGAGTCAGATGGGCTCTGGTGGCTCTCACAAACTAAAACCTTTTGTCTTCCCTTGAATGAAGTGCATTTACCACAGTCCTCTCAATCATCAAATTTGTAGGAGCGGTAATTTTTCATTGACAAATCCCTCGGTTTTAAGAGATGGTCACTCTTTGAAAAGTTGAGAGGAAGCAGTCTGAGGAACATAACTGTAACTCACTTCCTCTACACATCCATTTGGCTTTGAACCTGAACATACTGTACTTTCACAGCACATTTAAACTTTTTATTTTGAATCAAAAGCTATACTTATTCTAGGTTTAATTTTAGGCCACCTCTAGCTTTGTGCGTTTGTGGTAATAGATATAAAATGAGGTTTTAGCAACAAAAATGAAATGCAAATTGAAGCGTAAGTTTGTGGAAAAACACAAAGCTTTTACTGCTGTTGATGTCCCGCCAGTGCTGTGTCGTAAAACGCACGTATTATCTCATCTACATCTAGATAAGCCAAAGCATGACCTCATTTCACGCTCACTTTTGCTCTGAGGGAATGTACTTGATTTCAAAACTGCCTCAAGTCTATTTTCCCAAGAGCTTCATGTGCATACATCGGGGCTGCTTATGTAAATGCCTGAAGCAGCCCTACCTTTGGAATTGAAACTGAAGCTCGGGATCTACATGACTCACAGTGGCCTTCTAGATTGATTATGACTGTCAATTAGTGGATTTCCCAAAAGGAACATGTATTTATTTGAGGGTGTGACTCACCCTGCAACTTTGTGGAGCTGCAGACATGCAGAGCAGCAACAAAGGGTGAAATTCCTGCGCGGTCACAAGCAGTACACGCTATATTCACCGGTCCCATATGGGCGTCAACACATGGAAGTGAACTTGAAAGGGATTTTTTCACATTTAAAAAAACAAAAACTTCAATTCCAATCCAGAATGAATTTGTCTTTTTGGAAAATAAGCTTAAGATTTGAGTAACTTAGATACAATTTTCCTTTTCCGTTGAATATTAAGTTGCGGCAAATTAGCTTAGCTTAGCACAAAGACTGAAAAAAAAAAAAAAAAAAGGGAGAAATTGTTAGCCTGGCTCTGTCCAACAGTAACAACACCTGCCAACCGTCACCTCTAAAACTCACGTATCAACACGCTACATCTCGTTTGTTTAATCAGTACAAAAAGAAGGAAGTGTAAAAACTGCAGGAGGTAATGTGCCGGACCATTTCCTGGCTCTAAACGTTTGTCGGGTAAAGTAGCGCAGACGGCAAGAAGCTCCTGATCCCGACCAAGAAATTGTCCGTAAAACAGCCAACTGTCATTTTTACGAGCAATTCGTTACACTGCGACACGCAAATTAGTGAGCTTTGAGAATGCGCTTCTGTCCCAAAACGATTTCTTTACATGTATGTGTAGTTTTTAAGTGTCCATGCCCTTTTAATGGAAATTTCTACAGCATGTAGGAAATAAGATTCGACACAAGACGCATAATCCTGCCGTACTACTGTATTCCATCTTTCAAAAAAGAAAGACAAGATTTAATATTACTTAACAATATGTTAAAAGTAGCCAGTTTGGCTTCAGTGTTAATACAATATACACTCTATAACAGATTGATAGTGCGAGTATTGTTCTTTTTCGATTTCATTCTGAAAGTATTCTGATACAAGCTGGCTACAGGTCAAAAATAAAGAAAACAAAAACTGTAACTGGTACACTTTTACTCAACAGTTTGTTAAACAGAACTTAAAAACCAAAAAAGAACATTGTCAAGTATTACGCTTTCCTCCTTTCTGTGAAACGGGGTGGTTGGGGGGGGGGGGGGGGGGGGGGGGGGGGGGGGGAGAGACCAGCTGACCAAGTCCATTCCCTTGTCAATCATGTGAATGAGATGCCGTGCTAGGAACGGGAAACGATGGGATATTAAGCCACAATATCTCAAATACAGCTTTTAATTCATTACATTTCTCTTCTTTTTTTTTGCAGTTTCCATTGTCTCTTTTTTTTGGAAGGAAACCATCCAGACATAGCAAGCATCTTTTGACTATAGGTAAGCCATTAAAAGAAAAAAACATTTCAGACCATGGCTTTGTAAGTCAAAAGAAATGCCCAACTCAGACTAAAAGCACACAAGCACGCAAGGAAAATTAATCGGATGAAAAGTAGCATTTTTGTGATTCTTTGTGTGATTTAATTTAATTTTTGTTTTAGTTCTGCAGGTGGATCGATCCAGATGGGTCCATGTTGGAACCACACAGCGACAGGAACAAAGCAAGGCAGCGTGGGTGTGATTTGGGCACAGCAGGAGAGAAGTTCTGGGAGGACAACAGCTGGGTGGAGGTAAAGGGAGGGGGCGGGGTGGTTGGAACAGCTGTTAAGGTACTGATTGTGTCCCGACAGTCACTGACCAACAGCCTCAATGTGCAGCGTACGTAGCTTTCTTCAAACTAAAGTTTGACCAGTTGATGGAAAGCCGTTGGCGGGTCTGCCGGGCAGAATCCAAGCAAAACCTGCAGGAGAAAAACAAA